AATGACTTTATTCCACATTTTCGTCTCTACTGCGTCACTTTGGACTCGTGTTCACGACTGTGGAATAAAGTCGTTATTTTTGTTTTCTTTGCGCAAAAACGTATTCTCGTAGCTTCGTAACTTTACAGTTGAACCACTGATGTCACACGGACTACTTTGTCGATCATCTTGGTACTTTTCTGGACCTTGAACGTGGTAGTTACCTTGCCGTCTATGGGAGGGTCAGAGAGCCCTCAGATTTCATCAAAAATATCTTAAATTGTGTTCCAAAGGTGAACGAAGGTCTTACGGGTTTGGAACAACACGAGGGTGAGTAATTAATGACAGAATTTTCATTTTTGGGTGAACTAACCCTTTAAAATGGTAATATTGTGAAATATCATTACAATTTAAACTTACCTGTAATGACCACAGTGGTGGATTGGTCAGACTGCAGTAATTCAACAAGAACAGTGACTCCCCTTGCAGTCAAAGTCACTTCATCTGATCCACTAATTACTCTGGCTAACACAACTATCTGTCAAACAAATGAGGAGTCAGTTAAATTAACTGTTTTTCCAGCCTTTTACAGCTGTTCATTAAAACATCTTAACATCTGTTCATTTTCTACTATGGTAAATGTTTTTTTGAAAACAATGTCACATTGAAAACCTGCCTTTTTATTTAATTTTTTGGAGTTTGAAAATGAAAAAAAAAAAAGTTATGATGTAAATTGGACACTATTTTGGATATTTATTCAATAAGATTTTATTAATGTAGAAAAGGATGTAAAATAAATTTGATTGTGGTCTCAGACTTTTGGGCCCCAATGTATATGTTCTGAATCTTCTGACTACCTGAAATGCAGCTTTTGCTCTTTCCGTCTCATTGTCAGAACTCAAAAATGTCTCGTATGTGTTCATTAGAATTCTTCCTGTTTGTCGAATTGCCTTCTGTTGGGCTTTGTTGTTGTAAGCAAACAGGGACAATGCATGTCCAGCATCCAGACAAATGCTCTGAAAGAGAAGACTTGCTAAGCAGTTCATTTAAACAAACACATTCAAAATATCAGTGGCATCACATGAGCACCGTGAAATAATTCAAACCAAGATTGAATTGGTATAAATTTTAAATTACTTTGTTTTCAGCCCCCATGAGCTCCAGAATGATATCGTAAGAGAAGTCCTCTTGTTCCCAGAATTCCCTCTGGAGTTTTTGGTTCCCCAGCAGCACGCAGGCGAGAGTCTTAGCCACTTGCACCTAATGTCATTTAAAAATAATATGAAGTAATTTCCTGTTTTAATCTCATTTCATTTTTGAAATGAATACTTACCTTCACCTCCAGAGATTCATGGGTTTTTAAAAGCTCTAATAATGTAGGAATGGCCTTTTCTCTGTAAATAATCTTTTGACTCTTTTTATTAGTAGTGAGCGCCACTCCTACAACCACAAAAAAACAGGTTTATCATTTGCACTGTAACACAAAGCCATTTATATAAAAGAAATTAAAGAAAAAGTGTGAGATATTACCAATGCACAAACAACCCAGAGCTTTGATGACACTGAGCAGGGTCTTCAGTGTTGTTCGATGCCCTCGAAGCAAACGCACCAAAGGCGGCACCCCATACTCCCTGCAAAAGCCATCCTGATGGGTTCGACTATCTCGGCTAAGCGCTATTGCCGCTTGGCAGCCTGTGAAATGACGAGATACGTGCAGATAACGTTCTCTGGGGGGTGGATAATTTGCAACAATATGTATGGAAGCTTGTTTCTTCCAGGGCATAAAAAATGGTAATTGCAGCTTCTAATTTTTTTCTCACAATTCTGAGAAAAATATAAACTCAAAATTGCGAGATGTTAACTCACAATTGTGAGTTGATCACTTGAATTGTGAGATAAAAAGTTGCAATTAGCTTTTTTTTTTTTTTTAAGAATTGCGAGATGTAAACTTGCAAAACTGAGAAAAAGAAAAACGAGAATTCTGAGAAAATTAAGACAAAATTGTGAGATATAAACTCAGAATTCAAAGGAAAATAAAGTCAGAATTGTGAGATGTTAACTTTTATTTTTATTCCGTGACTACACAAAAAAAAAAACAGAATTGCGAAATGTAAACTTGGAATTCCAAGAAAAAAAGTCAAAATTCTGAGATGCGAGATTTGCGATTCTGAAGAAAAAAGTCAGAAATGTGCGGTGTAAACTTGCAATTAGGATTTTATAAGTTGCAACTGCAAAATATTAACTCGCAATTCTAAGAAAAAAGTCAGAATTGTGAGATATAAACTCACAATTGCAAGAAAAAATGTTGCAATTAACTATTTATATTATATTTATACTATATTTTTATTTATTTATACTATTTTTTTTTTTACTACTATTTTTTATTCCATGGCAGAAACAAGCTTCCATAGTTATGAAGGTGCGGACAGTTCTGTCTGAAAAAGATTTTTAGGGAACATCTGTCTGACAAAATGTTTTAACAGACGATCCACGGGAGACACGATCCAGACACCTGAATGAAGAGGAAGCACTCTTGGAATATAGCATCGTTTTGAAATCACAGCCTGTAATCGGGTCATAGTTTAACACTAATAGCAATACAAGAGACACAGCAACTCTTGTAAGCAATGTTTACGGAGAAACCCACAGGGGGAATGACATTCCACTGTGCATGCCTTCCTGTCTTATGAGTCTAGCAGATCAGTGCTGTCTCAAGACAGGAAGTGCTGGCCGCTTACCCGCTGGACCGAACCTGTTCTGTCAGTGACAGGGAGAAGCTCAGGTAGTCAATCTGCTCAGTTTATCCAGTGCCTGTCAACACGTAGTCAATGGGAAGCTGTTTTTATTGCATTTGGTGCTTCTTCTGTCTGGACGACAGCTTTGCAGTGAGTGTTACTTACATTCATGGGTGACTGATTGGTTGAATGGAACTTGGTGATCTCTTTTGGGACGGTGTATAATGAGATCAATTTGTATCGGGTCTTACCCACGTATTGCATTTTGTCTGAAGAGGACAGAAGAAGGTCAAGGATGACTGGGTAACCCATCTGCTGTGCCATGAGCTTCTGTTGCTTCAGAGTTTGTCCTGCCAGGGCCCATAGAGCTGTTGCACCCTGCTCCCGCACATCCAGCTGGAACACCTGAACACAGGGCAAAGTTCAGAAAGAGTTTACTGTGCCAAGGGTTGACTTGAGACTTTATGCAATATAAGAACCGTTTTCAAGGCAATTAAACTGACTTTTTATTTTATATATATAAAATACACTTCTATCAGGACCACTAAATTACTAAAGAATTACTTACATTTACTAAATTACTAAATTTAAATACAAAATTTTTTTTTTTAAATTATATTTGGAGAAAATGGTCTTTTTGTTAGAAAATGGATCAAAGTTTTTTATTTATTTATAATTTTATTCTAAATAAATTACTACAAGCATAAATTATAAGCATATTAATAACTAAATTAATGAATAAATTAATATTATTTTAAAAACTATTTTGAGTGATTATGCAATTTTCTGATGTATACTAATAAGAACAATCCTATAAATATTAATTCAACTAAACTTTAGTGTAATATCTATATGACAGAATCTAACAGAATTGGCTTGTAGCTTAACTTTAAATTTTTTTTGTTTTAATTTTAATGCTAGTAAAACATAATTTAGTAAATTAGTGTTTAAAAACATGCTAAAAATAATTTTACGTATGGTCTGTAGTAGCTGCATCCATATCCACCACATCCATATTCATTTCACTTTTAAACAATAATACTACATTTATTTATAATGTGCTCTTCTTATATCCAAAGTACTGCAACACATACAATAAAATAATAAAACAATATAAAACAAAACATTGAACCCAATTAATGTTCCTCTTAAGCAACAAAACCATTCCTCATAAATTCAT